AGTTGATTGTCCTTTGCATGTTGCTTTTTCATAGTGCTTAGCTTCATTCTCTACTCGCATGTTGTCTCTTCTGTTTCAATGACTGTCATTGCTACTTTGTGCTCTGCTCTTAATTTATTCGATGTTTTGATTGTGTCTTATTAAATGGCTGCTTTTCTAAGTGCTTTTTCCCTCTTCTTTGTTCATCAGTTTGTATTTAGTCCTTGATCGTTTGCTTATTTATAGCACTTTTTCATTTTGCACTTTTTATATACATTTCAAAGTTTTTCATTATTTTTTTTTTAGACTTGTTCCCACTCACTCATTAATCCATCTTTCTACATCCGCCCACTTGCACTTTTGTTTTCCATTCAACACAGTTTATGTATCCCTTTGTTGCTACCACGCACAATTAGATTATTTAAAACTAAAGCATGGCCCAGAAATATAGTGTAGATTCTCTGTATATCATGATTTGTATTGAAATGTCTCTGTCCTGCAAATTGCAGATCGGTAATGGAGAGAAGCTTATAAACGTAGTCTTACTAAATGGAGAGAGACTTAACGTCCGGGTCCCGGTGAGTTCATAACTGGTCATACATTCTATGAAGGGCGTGGCACAACACGTGGCCGTCTACAACCTTGATTCATTTCTTTTGTCTTTCAGACCGGGGCTACTGGACAAGACTTGTACAATACGATTTCAGAGCATCTCGGCCTTGCGGAAACGATCTTTTTTGGTCTTATGATAATAAAAGGTAATGTCATTTGCAAGTATATATGTAAAGCGAAGCATATGCTAGCAATGAGAGACTTATTTTAATGTAAATTCGGTAAAAACAAGGTTATCTGTTGTTTTGCAGATGGCGAACATGAATTCTTAGACCTCAACGATAAATTGTCCAAATTAGCAAAATATGCGCCACATCTTTGGAAAGATGACGTAAGTATTTTTGGTCAGGATGACTCTATAATCCCACAGCTCAGAGTGACGTCACAGAAAGCAAACCGCTAGGACGTACACTTGTTTTTGCAGCTGTGTCATTAAATGACTTGACTTTAGTTCGTGTTAAATGCTAGGGTTAGCGTTTTCGCTCTAAAAAATGATTAATTTGAATTTGAATCAAATTTGCAGGTATCTTGTAATTCCTCGCTGGTTTTCACAATCTTCTTCCGTGTCAAATACTACGTAGAAAATATTTGTTTATTGCAGTAAGTATATTTRCACTTCAAATTTTTAGGCGGGAAGCCTTTTAAGACCTGCGTGCAGCCTAACCAAAACTGTCGTTAGGTCAGTTTGCGATCAGCGACAAAAATCGTGTTCCCCAGCGATGTAGCGGGATATATGTACTTCGCTCTTATTGGCTGTTTAGTTTTGAATTCTAACAAACGCAGWCAAGCCTTAATAAGTGACACCCGGTGTTTCTACTTCCCGGGTTTCTGCGCACTACCGATATTTGAATTCTCAAACATGATACYTTCATTTTCTTTGTCARGGCAACAGGGTACCCGGTATTTCTACTTCCCGGGTTTCTGCGCACTACCGATATTTGAATTCTCAAACATGATACCTTCATTTTCTTTCTCAAGGCAACAGGGTACCCGGTATTTCTACTTCCCGGGCTTCTGTGCACTACTAATATTTGAATTCTCAAACATGATACCTTCATTTT